CACTGACTCATGCGTCTGTGGCTGACCATGCTGTTCAGTGCAGGGCCTGGTCTGAGGAGACGGGTCACTGGGGTGTGACCTGGGAGGTGCGGTCATGTCCCTGGTTCCTCCTCCCTCCCTCTGCTTCCTGCGGCCATGGGGCGAGCCGCTGTCCTCCGCCAGGCCCCTCCGCATGGTATTTCTGTTTTGGCGCCGGCACCATGGACAGAAACAGTGAGCCAAGTCACCCTGTTCTCTGAGTTACACGCACTGGGGACTGTGTCCCAGAGCCAGAATTTAATCCTCTTGCATAGCTGTAATATCACACTTCCGGGGCAAAAAAAATATTACACATCCTTTGGAAAGGTACCCAGAATGCCGTTCCTCCTCTCTGCTCCCCGTGCCACTTTACTGTGCTCACCGGCAGTCTTCTTTGCTGGGTTAATTACAGCAGCCTCCTACTGATTCTTCACCCTTGTCCCCTTTCATGCGGCCATCATGCTGAGCCCTTCACGCGTGTCTGGGCTATGCTCAGAGGACCAGCAGCTTTCTGCTTCACTCGAGATAAATGTGCAGCTCTTACCTTGGCATGCACGGCCTGCGGGATTTAATGGCACTTTCCTTGATTTCATGCCCTGACGTCTTCTCTTGGATTCCTCATTCCCTACTGTCCAGGTCTCCTGGTCTGCTGAGACTCACCCTGCTTGTTATGTCCTGAGCCTCTGTGGTTTCTAAGTCTGCAGGGCTTCTCCTTGGAGTTCCTTTCAACCTTTAGGTGTCGCTGAACCGCAGCCATTGGAGAGCTCTTCCCTACCACTCTTAACTTGGCAACTTTCACTGTCACTCAGCTCGCCTTGCTTGGTTTTGCTTTATATGCTCATCATACCTGCCAGTGATATGCATATTCATTGCTTCTACCCCCGACACAAGTGTACGTTACGGGAGATTAGAATTTGTATTCCTGCTGCATAGGGCAGAGCCTGGTGTAGTGTATGTGTTGAGTAAATATTTACTCAATGAAATAATTTAAGGAAAACTTACAAATTAAATAGGAAAAGGAGAAAGCAGAGAACTTGAATTTTAAAAAAGTCGAGAGATGTCAGCCGAGATTTTAAAATGTATCTATTTTATCCAGGAAAAAAGAAGAGGAAGCTGTGAAGAAATAGCAATAAGAGTTCTTGGGAATTAAAATGTGATTGTTATAAAAAAAAAACAAAACACCTCAATAAAAACTAGAGTGGGCTGAATTGTATTCAGCCACAACATTTGTGGTAATTGTTACAGTAGCCCTAAGAAACTAGTGCAGCTAAATAAAAGTGGAAGTAAAGAAATCTACCAGAAACAGGTAAAGCACAGATGTGGAGATTCTGGGATGTTCAGCAAATGACTAGTACCGGTTTCAGAAGGAAAGGACAGATAAAGTGGAGAGGGAATTATCAGAGGGATAAAGGGGAGATCTAAGAAGTATGCCAGTGGAAAAGTATAGAACACTCAGTGATTGAAGAACGTCTTGTCGGCCCAGAAGTGAGAGAAATAAAGTTCAGAGGAGAAAATATCAGGGAAAAGAAAGGGAGAAAGCAAAAGGCAGCCTCGTGGAGGTGGGAAGTGCTGTGTGGTGGTAGCACGTGGGATCGCAGTGTTAAAATTAGCCAGTCGGGAACTGAAGGGCTGTAGCTTGGGGTGAGATGAACTGACTTCTGATCTCTGAGAACTGGAATCCATAAATAATTTCTCGAGAAGTGATGCATAAAGTAATACATTATTTAGAGCGCTGCAGAGAATCAGGACACGCTCCAATGCTTTAAAGAGAAGGAAGTGATTGCCCCAGGACTGGGTTGGAGAGAGCTGGGACTTGTGTGTTTTTAACCCCAGAGGTGCCTTGTTTTGTTATAACAAGAAGAGAATAGACATTTTAGAAAGTAAGTGGACAACAGCTCGTTGTCAACTGTGAAGGAACAACAAGCTGAGCTTCAGGTAGTAACAGTTCACTCATTTCCTCTTTGGCCCTGGAAGGGGCTGACCCACGCCATCATCTGTAGGAAGAGGCTTGGTTGCCACACTGTCTGCCTGTGGCCGTCCGCATGAGCCCCATCCGCCTGTCCTTTAGAGAGGGTCAGGATCTCTACCCTCAGAGACGCGGAACACCGTGCCAGGGTCACAGGGTGGCATAGTAACAGCTCCGACCCTGAGGACTTGTCATACTTCTCATCCTTGCATGTGCCCCTGGGCATGACCATGTGTGTGCACAAGGACACCCGGGTGGGACCTGGTCCCCTTCCCGGGCAACCAGGTGACAAGTGATAGTGTGAGGTACTGCATGCTTTGTCTTAGCTATGGACACGAATCCTTTTCCAGCACTTTCATACCCCAGAGTCTGGTACTTTGAGTTTTACGGACAAAATGCTTTGTGAGTGGATGTTGCTTAATGGAAGAAGCCATTGTGAAAATGAAGCTCCTGAGAAATTCAGTAATGAGTCCTGTACTCCTTGCTCCTGGGCACATTTGTATGTATATTACTGACAATAACATTACCATTTTGAGATCTAAAGCCAAATTTATTTTTTTCCAGAAATACCTGCTTTTAGTCTTTGTTTCTTCATTATGCTTTGCTCCTTCAGGAATATTGTTTCATGATCCAAATACCTTCTAGTATGTACAGTTACCTAAATCAGCAAATACTGACCATTCACTCATTTATAGTGGTCCTGCGAGTGAACAAAATGTCTTTCTTTCTTTCTCCTTTTCTTTTTCTTTCTCTTTTCTTCTTTCCTTCTTTCCTCCCTTCCTCCCTGCCTTCCTTCTTTCTTTCTGAGATAGGACTTCACTATGCAGTTCAGGCTAACCTCAAACTCACAGTGATCCTCCTGCCTCAGCTGCGCCACCACGCCTGGCTGTTTCTTTTTTTCTTGTGCTGCCCACAGATAACTGAGAATCAAGCAGATAACTTGCAACTTGATACAGAATGCATGCAGGAAGGTTCTGTCTATGTGTTTGGTGCATCCTTTTCATGGATGAGGAAGTGGTGTGGGTCCAAGCAAGAGTATTAAATACTTGGCCATCTGCGTGCTCTTTCTCGAGTTTGATCCCACACTGTGCTCTGTGGCTTTCAGGAGGGAAGAGGAAAAGTAGCGGTTTGGAAGGAAAAGAGTGAAGTAGTAATGGGGAATAATATTTAGTAAAAGTTATGTTTGCCAGGGAAATGTCCGTCGAATGTCTGCAAAGTGCAGGCCGCTTTTCCAGGAGCAAATGTGGTGCCCTGCACGACGACTCAGGCTCTTCCTTCTGAATTTCATCCAGTGCTGAGTGCTAAGTCTGCACAGTGTAGAGCGGGAGGGACCTTTCGCTGCAGTAGGAGCCACTGTGAAGTCTCACACTTCTGTTTTTATTGGGCTGAAGGCAGGGCTTTTTTTTTTTTTTTAATTGCTGTTGTTGCTGTTCACTAAACTTTTTTGGGGAATAAGTTTAGATTTGGAAAAGTTGCAAATGGTGTGGAAGTGCGGCGACCCCTTGGCCAGGGTCCCTCCTGATAGCGTCTTCCATTACCACCGTGCATTCGAAGGGCGAGAAATCAGCCCAGGGATGTGCTCTTAGTGCACCCTGGCTTTCCTGAGACATTCCTTGTTTCTCCACTAACACAGTTTCCAGCCCAGGGTCGGGTACAGGACCCCAGGGCCACTCGTCCTGGCTCCTCAGTCTGCTCCAGGCTGTTACTATTTCTTAGTCTTGGACCTGTTTCTTCTCCCTCACCCATTTACTTACTTAATGAGAGTGGGTTTTAGGTATTTGTTTTATACTTAGGGGCCTTAATTCAATACTCCATTATTTTATTGCTCACATTGTTGTGCCTTTGGCATTTGGGGCTCACATTTCCCTTTAACACTTTAACCTTTTGTTTTTTGAATACTTGGTTGACTCTGTATTCTTGTCTTAAAACAAAGTATTGCTCTGTTGCCCTGCTGGCCTTGAGCTCCTGGGCTCAGGCAATCCTGCCTCAGCATCCTGAGTAGCTGGGACTACAGGGTCCACACCATTGTGTATGGTTCTCCATTTTTTTTCCATGTTGGGCATGAACTAGGGGCCTCGCATTGCAGGGCAAGCTGTACCGCTGGGTTGATTTCTCACCCTGAGAGATGGCCCAGGCTCATTTTGTATATTCTCTGCCCTGGTGGGTGAATCAGCCCCTTCCCCCAAGTGCCTCAGTTTCCTTTACTGGAGAATGGTAGATTCTGGAGAATTTAGAAACCAGGAACTTGGTACTGGCTGTGCTCTTTGCAGATAGAATGTCAGCCAGTCCCTGTTTTACTTTGTTAAAAGATTTTTAAAGCCTAAATTTAAAAATGAGTAGGACAGACATACCCTGACTTAGGAAGCTATGGACTGAATATTTATATGGCCATATTAAGCCCAGTTTTTAGAAACAGACGTATTCCAGGAAAAGTGCATGTTGAGTCGTTGCATCTATTTCAGTAATTATATGCTCTTAAAATTACTTGAAATACATATTTCAGTATGTAACATCTAAGGTAAGATAGTTTCTTTACTGAGCTTTGTTTTTATTGTGCACTTTCCGTAACATTGGCATCCTTACCACATTGTGCAGAAGCAAATGATCATTCATTTTAATGCAGTGGGACCAGTGGACCTTTCCTGCCTATGGGTTATAGGAGGAAATTGGGAATTCTATTGTTAGGTGTCTCTAGCAAAATTAACATTAGTTTCAGTCCAATTCACTTAGTAATGAGTCTTTTTTAAAAAGTGAGATTTTCCCAAACTTACACATTTTCTGCTTTGGGTGTTTTGAGCCACAAGGATTACATGATTTCAGCAACCCAGTGCTTTAGTTGCTATATATTTTCTCTTTGGTCCTCAGATAGGGGTAAGTTTTAAAAGTTGAATTAAACTTTAAACTGGGCATTAAAAGTTAGCCTTAAAAAAATGGGTAAATTTAAAAGTGGATGGGGATTTTATAAAGAATACGGTATCTTTGGCTTTAATCCCACTTCTTGTTTTCTTCTTTGCAGAGAATGCAGCTGGTCACTACATTTCCCCCTTCCATGACATCCCTCTCAAGGTCGATGCTGAAAAGGTACTATTTTAACTTGTTTTGAAGGTGAAAATGAGCATTTCTAATATGACCATAAAATGATATTTTGGAAGCACCTTGAAAGGAAAGAACGTGATTGGAAGTCAGGAGGAGAACTTGGAGTTGATAGAATTCTTCGGGAGGACGCGGGAGAAAGGGGTGCCGGTGGTCCCCTAGGCTTACAAATAGGTAGGAGATGAAAGGGTCGTCATTTAGGATGAGTACAGGCTTATTTTTAATAACGATGTCATAGCGAACATTTGCATGTTATTGCTGTTTGCCAGGCACCATGTGAACATGGGTTATTTAATCCTTTAAGTGACTCTTGTTACCTCCAGGGATGTGCAGGGTGCAGGCATCTGACCGACTTGTCTAATGTCACACAGCTGGTGGTTCCAAGCCCATAGCGCTGACGTTCCCTCCCCACCGTGCAGCCAGTGCTAGCAAAACCAGGCTGAGAACAGCCGTGTTTGTGTAACTGTCTCCTAGAGTGTGTGTGTGCAATCAGTCATCAGTGCACCAGTCTTATGAGTCACTCAACAGCTATAAGGCTGTAATGGTTGTCACCAAGCGGAGCAGGAGAGCCACTGTTGTTGGCAGAACTGAGAGGATCCCAGAAGCATTGGGAGCTTTGTGGCCTCTCCTGATCAGTCGGTGTGATGATGTGTTTGGTAGCAGACATTCATGATCACCAGGAGGCTGGAACTCACGTCCTTACCATCCAAGGTGACCACTGCCGATGCAGCTGAGGGCAGAGTGCCAGCTCTCCAGTACTCACCACAGTGGGAAGAGTTAGGATGTACCGAGTACTTGTGGTGGCTGCCTGGGCACTGCACTTGGTCCTCGGCATGCGTTACCTCAGTCCTTCTGTAACCTCTGTGCGTGCCGTTGTGAGTATGGTCACACATCTACGCTGTCCGGTGGTGTTATATGCAGGGCTTGGCCTCCAGAGGTTGCGGCCTTTATTCTCTTGTTCATTAAGTGTCTGCTCTAGGATGTGGGTCCTCGAATCTGGAGAGACAAAGAGCCAGGGAGGACAGAAGTAGCTCAGGACTACTGTGTGTCTCTCTTTGAGTTTCGTTTTCTTTTGTTTTGGTCAGTGAACCATCAGACCTCATGGTCTCCCATCTCTCAATTGCCCAACACGTGCATGCATTTGTTTACTTACTGTTTATTCATTCGGTAAATAATCCTCTCATGCTTGTGATGAGCGAGACAGGATTGCAGGCCCTGGGTGTGCAGTGGTGGTTCAGACAGACCTCATTCACGCAGTAGGAGGAGACAGACAAGCTTACAAGCAGTCAGTCCGAGCTGCTAAGTACTATGAGGAGAACTGTGGGGCAGAGGGACTGGCGGGCTATTTCAGGGGTGTCATGAAAAGGGCTGTGTGCCTCCAAACTGTCACAGGAATCACGCTGTGTTTTTGAGAGTCGTGTAATAGATGGGTGCAGAGGTGGAAGAAAGAGTGAGATAGAGACATGTCACTGTAGCCAGGCATAGTGGTGCATGCCTGTAGTTCTGCTAACCTAGGAGGCTGAGGCAGGAGGATTGAAAGTTCAAGCACAGCCTGGGCAACCTACTGACTGACAGAGGCCTGTCTCACAGTGAGGAAGGTGCTGGGGATGGTGCTTAGTGTGAGAACCCTGACATCTATCTCTAGTAACTCAAAAAAAAAAAAACCAAAAAAAACAGGGAGCAAAGAAGTAAAAACATCAGGGGCGTAACACCCTGTCAGTGCAGAGAGGATTTGGGTCAGAATTGAAACTGGGTCAGAACAAGTTGAGACAGGAGGCGGTAGTGAATTCTGGGGGCACAGGTTATTACACGTGGTAGCAATGTTAGTAGGATCCCCTAGTTTTTAGCCAGTAATGATTGGAATGTTTGCACCTTGTGCTTTGGGATATAGAATTTTGGAAAAGCAATAGTTTCGGGGCTGACTCGGGCTGATTATTTTTCTGTTTATTTTGTTTCTCTCGTTAGTAGTCATTTTGGTGTGTGAATGTCACGCACATTGGGCAAGCTTCTGTGAATGGCATCGTTTTTCTCCCAGCCTGTGGTGGTCTGGTTGAATTCAGAAAAGCTTGGAGGCAGCATAATCATCACACCTCGTGGAATTCAAGGCGCGAGGGGGGCCGATATGTTCACGGCTTGTTAGCCCTGCTCCCTGGAGTCGAATTTCAATAATGAAATGACTGTTTTAAGCATAATCATGGGAAACTGCCAGTCCTTCCTTGAAGACTGAACAGAGCCTTTGCTTGTTTTATAAAAGCTTGAAAAATATATAGTACTTGAAAGAGCGTTAGTATTCCTGATCATATATTTTATAAAACAGCCTGACGCTGTGTTCCCTGGGAGCCCCAGGCGTTTGGTGGAGTCAGAGTTGCAGGCAGCCTCTGTCGTGGCACCTTTATCTACCAGGGATCGAGTTATTGCTATGTAGTGCGTTAGTCTTCAACTGTGGAATATGATGATCACAGCTACATTATTCTCTCTTACAGGAAAAAGGCATCCCTACCAAGAAAGCAAGAAGTGATGGTGATGAGGTATATCTAGACGCTTTTCTTTGGGGAATCACTTTCACACGGTCTGTTGAAGCCCTTGATGATCATGCGCATTTGTCAAGTGCTTCAAAATACTTCCCCCTGCAAGACAATCTTGTGCGTCCTGATGGTTTTCCTCTAAAATGTCTTTAAGGCATTTAGACCTGATAGTACCATGATCTTTTTTCTTATAAAATGTTCACTTTATCAAATTCACCATTTTAACATTTCTTTTTTTTTTTTTTTTTTGGTATTGGGAATCGAACCCAGGACCTTGCACTTGCCAGGCAAGTGCTTGTGCCGCTGAGCTACATCCCCAGCCCTTAACGTTTCTTAAGTGTACAGTTCAATGGCACTGAATATTTAAACACTGTTTTGCCGCAACCTCCATCTGTCTCCAGAACTTTTTATTACCTAGAACTGAACTCTGTGCCCATCTCCTTGTAACTCCCCCTGGCCTTGAGCTCCCGGGAACTTCTTTCCTCTGTCTCTGAATTTGACTGTCCTAGGTACTGTTGCCATTTCGTTTTTTTTTAAGTGAACAGCTTAGGAATATCAGAACAAGAACCCAGATGTTAATAGCAAATTATTTATCATGGTCAATAGTCTAAAGGAAGTGTTTATGAAAACTGGTCAGTTTGCCTATTTTTAGAAATTGCAACTGTGCAGATAGTTTGCGAGTGTTTCACCATCAAGGCTCAGTGGTTTTTCAGAAGCAGAGAAGGGGAACTGTATGCCAACTGTACATTGAAGTATATTCCAGATATATCATTGAATTCGGTGACTGTCAGATCTGTTGTACTTACTCAGGACCACACTCGTGGTTGGCACTCTCCCATCAGTTGCCCTGGGTCCCTTCAGTTCACACAGTTTTCCTTCTGCCCTGCACCTTTCCAGCCTTATTTCCATGTGTTCTCTGTCCTAACTAAGCTTTTGACTGCAGCCTTTGAATCCACTTCCACACATGGCTGTGGGGGCTGTGTAATTCCTACGACATTGGGCTGTGGTCCTTCGTCTGTTTACCTGAGTCTTTGCCACACAGTCCTTGAAACATTACATTGGCACCACCCGCAGTGCTTGCTAGAAATTCAGACTCCTGGCTCCATCCGGTATCTTCTGACTGTGAATCTCTGCCCGGCAGGGATGGACCGGGTTGATCTGCGTGGCACAGTGAGCCACGAAGGTTGAGAGCTACTGGGTGAAACGTCGAGTGGCACAGACAGGGGCTCCAGCCTTTATGGTTCCTAGGGACTCTGTATATGAATCGTAGTGTGTTAATCTGAATCTGTTGTTGCAGTGTGACAAGTCTATTCTGAATCCAGACCATCGAATTAAATTTCATTCTTAAATACAGTGTGTGTGGCAGAGGAGACCTGGTTTGTGTTTAGTTGAAAGTTTAAAGAGTTGGAGAGGCAGAAGGGTGATTTCTTTCTGTCTTTTCCCAAATGCATAAAACTTGGCAGTTGCTTTCCATATGTCTTATTTCTCTCATTTCTGTGAGGAAAATACAAGGGGAAAAAAAGGAGAGAGAAAGGACTGAAGGGAGAAGTCACTGTTCCTGGCACACACACGGCTTTCTGATTTGATTGTGTTTATTTTTGCCTTTTTGATTTTTTAAAAAATAAATCCTGAAGGCCATTGTTGGTTTATAATTACCACTCATCTTGGGAAAGCCAGACTGACACTGGCTGTAAAGAAATCACAGGGCAAACGGAGGAGCTGAGAGAAGAAAGCGGGGAGAAACGAGCCGTGAGCAAGGGGAGTGGGAGGAGGGGCGCGGCCTGTGGGCCCAAACTCAGGCCTGTTCCTCACCTATGGTTCTGCGGCCTGATCCAGGGCTCTGGGAGAACTTTGGTAGTCACTGCACGATGACACAGTTGTCATTCGCATGGTCCTGTCCGTCATCTCCTCATATTAGGCCACGTGCGTTTGCTCTCTTGTAGCCAGGCTTTCAGGGCTGAATACATTATGTGAACATGTGCCTTTTACTTCAGTTCTTTTAGCAGCACCTTTAGATGCACATGAGCAGGTGCAGCCCATCGTAAAGAGCATAGGAAATGACACGACAGTCACCACAGCCGGCCCGAGCCGCTTTTCCAGGCGGGGATGACTTCCAAGGGGCAGCGGCTGGGATTCGTTCTCGCTGATGCGTTTGCAGTCTGGCCATTTGGAACATTTATTTTACCTAGAGAAGTGTAATAAAAACCACTGTGACTTGTGTGGCCGCTGGATATTTACATGTAATTGTGCAGGTGGCATTCTTTGAAGGAGCACATTCGCATTTCACAAAGAATCCGCAAAAACAGTGTTTAGCAGTGCTCAAGAAGCCAAGTCTGGCTGCGTATTAAAACTGCTGGAGAGCTTTTATAAATTAACCGTGCCTGGACGAGTTGAATTCAGCGGGTGGGTGGAGGGCCTCCAGTAATCTTTTATTTCTAATTGGGTAAAGGTTCCAAGGAGGTTTTGATGGGTGGCATGATTGAAGTAAGTAAATTATTTCTCAAATAATCCACAGAGGAGGACTTACTTTTTGGTTCTTTTCTTTCATTAGTACATGTGTGCAGTACATAAGGCTTACATTCCTTGTGGGGTTGGCCCGTGTACGTAACCAATCTTCATCCCTTTTCTCATCCCTTCCCCTCTTCTGCCCGGCCCCCCATCTCTTGGTCCCCTTACCCTCTGAGAAAGAACTATCTCCTGCTTCCTATTATGCGTCTCATGTTTTGCTCTTTATAATTTGGATTTCTCATGTGAGAGAAACCACTGTGATATTTAAGCTTATGTGTCCAAGTTATTTCACTTAACACTGTGGTCTCAGGTTTATTTCTACCTCCTGTGAACTGATACCATTTTATAAAATATAGCAAAATGCATAGTTAGTGAAGTGTAAATCAGATTGCAATTTTTCGATTATGAGATGCAATGGACAGATAGGTGCCTGTCACAAGGGGTCCGGCAGCAGGTGTTGTACAGCTTGGCCCTCAGCCCGGGCCATGCTCGGAGTAGCAACTTCCAATCATTGCTTCTCTGTGAGAAGGTTCGTTACTGATGCCACTGTGCGGGGCGAGCTGTCTCTCAGCCGGAGGCCTTCTTTTTCTAAGACAGTCTGTGTGAAATTATTTTTGTTTACCATTGACCTGGAATCTCCTTTGAGGAGAGCTTTCCACAACATTTAGACATGAGAGAGAGGACCAGGGCCCCTTTGCACCTAGGGGGAACCTGGCGTCCACAGCTTTGCCAACTAAAAGTGGAAAGACTTACCCTGCTGTGCATGACCTTCGTGCCTTCCTGTAGTGACAGCCTTCACCTCATGTTCTCATTGCAACTTGGATGCCACTTTTTTAATAATTTTCAGAATATTTCACTTCATAATTTTCTGAGCATTTTCCTTTAGGTTCTTTGGTAGATCTTAGCAACCTTGTGGGGAGTAGGACAGAGGTGTTCCTTTTCTCCATGGAAAAACGAGACAGATGCTTGCCGAAGGGACCCAGTCCCTCCTCCCTCTGTCATATGGGAAATGAACATCAAAACACATTTCCCTCCCAGCACTCAGGAGGCTGAGGCAGGAGGATCATTGAGAGTTCAAGACTAGCCTGAGCTACTAAGTGAGTTCAAGGCCAGCCTGAACTGTAGAGTGAAACCCTGTCTCAAAAAGACAAAAACAAACCCCATGTTCCCTGCCCCACCCCTGAAGTGACCTGTGACACACTAGACAGCTGTGGTCAGGTGACAGGCTGGCTTCAGTTCTCCTGTGTTTCAGGCAAATTCTTTACTTTTTAGAAGAAATTTAAGGAGAGGTAGAGATATGGTATAGACACCAACCATGTCTTAATGGGAAAAGAAATCCTCAAAGTATACTTCTAACGACTGCGCTGATTTTTACTTAGCATAAGGTTCTCGAATCCCAAGTGAATAAATAAATGATAGGCAAACTTGTTTATGTTTTCTCTCTCTTTGTTTGACCGCAGAATTTGCTTCATATGGTCGTAGAAGTGCCTCGGTGGACCAATGCTAAAATGGAGGTAAGGACATTTTTTTGTTTTTTGTTTTTTTTTTTGTTTTTTTTGTTTTGTTTTTGTTTTTCTCCGGCACCGGGAACCGAACTCACGACCTTGCACTTGCCAGGCAGGCGCTTTGCCGCTGAGCTAAATCCCCAGCACCGGTAAGGACATTTTCTATTAATGTAAAATTGAAATGGTAACTCAACGGCGGTGCAGTGGCATCGTTTCTGGTTATGGGGCATCACATTTTGAATTGAAGAGGGTTGATAGACTTCTATATAATGAAAACAATGGGTAAATAATCTTGTGAACTTTAATTTCAAAAAGTACTCAGAGCTTTGTACACACTTTACAGGGAGTGCTTTTCAGTTCCTCCGTCTAGTTGGTTGTACACATCATTATTTAATTCTCATAGTCTGCCCTTTCTTTGACAAGATGGCAGATATTTTCAAGGTTTACTGAAAAAAGATTCTGAAGTGTATTTGGATCATAGACACAAGTGTTTATTTGAGACTGATGGCAGTTTTAATTTCTGAGGACTTAGTCCCTGAGATTTTATTTTGCCTGAAATAAAACCATATTCCTAATTTAATTTCTGAACCCTAAAACATCTGCTGCTTTTCCCCTACTTAGCTTTTTGAATGAAATTATTTAAAACTTTTTCCATGAAACACAAACCTATCAAGAACAGCTTTTTTGTGTCCGATTGTTCTTTCTTCATTTAGATACGTTCCCTTATGGTTCTGAGCAGAATTTGATGTATGGCCCTTAGTTTGTGTAGATATTTAAGCCTTCTACAACTTGGGATGTGATGGCCAGTCTTACTTTAGATGTGTAAATGAGGGATTTTTATGTAGATGTGTACTGTAATTTTCACAATTTATATTTGGGATGCTCTTGGGAATTTTACCAGATCCTGGTAGTATTTTTGTTAACAGTTTATGGAAGTTACAGCCGTTAGAGGCTTCTCTTGATTATAAGTTGTAATGTTTTATCCTTCATCCTCTGGCAACCTCAGTTAAGGGCAGAACCAAGGGTCTGAGTCTTATTTGTGGTAAGCAACGTAGTTTTCTTTTATTTTAAATCAGAGATTATTTTTTCCCTTCTTTGAATGTCAATGTGAATATGTTTATAGAAAAATAACTTTGAATTGAAATCACTTGGTAAGAATATGGGTGTTTTTTAATCATTTAGAAAAATTTTTATTGTAAAAAAGACAATCTATATATATTTAAGGGGTCAAAATGATATTGTGATTTACTCTATTCCCTATGCAATTGGTCTCAAAAACAGAAGCAGCCAGGTGTGGTGGCACATGCCTCTAATCCTAGCACTTGGGAGGCTGAGGCAGGAGGATCACTGTGAGTTCAAGGCCAGCCTTGGCCTTTGAGTGCAATGCCAGCCTGAACTGTGTAGTGAGACCTTCTTTCAAAAGAACAAAACCAAAAGCAAACAAAACAAAACCCTGTCCTCCTGTCACAGATTTTGTGCCTTTTGACTACAGACTCCCCATTATTCCCACACCCTCAGATCTATAACCACCACTGTACTCTGCTTCTGCTCAAAGGGAAAGAACAACTGGGATGAGGGAAAGGAGAAAAGAAAGAAAGGAAGAAGGGAAAAAATATATATGTATAGTCACAGGATAGCTGGGATAATTGTACTTATTGAAAGGAACAGTTAATGCATAAACTTTTTTTCCTTCTTTTTAATGTTTTGACCAATTTTGCAGGCTGATATCTGGTAATCTGAACAACTAATTTGAAGACAACAATATGCAATATAACAGCCATTGTTGAATCCCTATCATCTTGTTCAGTGAAATTCTGCATTGTTTTTAATGTTTATTATTTTGTACTCTCTTTAAAATAAATTAAATTTAGTTTAATTGATACATAAAAATCTAACATTGCCCATAGTCACGGGGTGCTGTGTGATATTTTGATCAAGTCAACATCCATCTCCTCAAATACTGATGGTTTCTTTAGGGTAAAAGCTTTCCGGTCCTTCCCTCTGGCTGTCTCAGTGTGTGGTGCGTGCCGTGCAGTAGCACACCGGACTTCTGTCTGTCACCTCGTGCCGCTCGGGCCCCTTTTCCTCCATTGCAGCCTCTACCCAGCCCCGGTCACCCCGACTCCGCCCTCCAGCTCCAGGAGACCACATCTGAGTGAGCTGTTCGTCTCACTTGACGTAGATCTGCAGCTCCATCCCTGCTATTGCAGGTGACAGGAGTTTGCCCTCTTGCTGGCCAAGTAGGGGTCCACTGTGTCCCCGCACCACATTTCCTTTATCCCACCTCAGTCAGTGGAGGCCTGGGCTGTCATGGATGGAGCTGCAGTAGCGCAGCTGGTGTCCCTGCACTGTGACGCCGCTGTCCTTTCCTGAGGCTGCGGAGCCCGCGGTAACTGTAGGTTCGGGTTTTCAAGGAACCTCCACTCCCCTGTCAGGGCTCTGTGAAGACGCCACACCCTGCAGTGCAGAAGACAGTCCTTTCTCCGGTCTTGCCCGCGCTGCCCTCTTGTCTTGTGAGAGCCACGTTCTTACTGAGCTGAGGCGACAGCGCGCGGGTTCTCAGTTGCAGTTCTCTGATGACCGGTCTCATGAATCATTTTTTCATACACCTTTTAGCCATTTGTGTTATGTCTTCTTTTAAGAAATGTCTAGATCTGTTGTCCATTTCTAAATCAGATTGTTTTCCTGCTGTGGACTTTTTGGAGCTCCTTATATATTGTGGTACTAACCCCTGGTCAGATATGTGTATTGTAGATATTTTCTCCCATTCTGTATGTCGTCTCTGCATTCTGCTGATTCTTTCCTTTGCTGTGCAGGGCTTCTTAATGTTGATGTAATTCCATTTATCTATTTTTATTTTTGTTGCCTATGCTTTTAGGGTCCAATCCATAAAAATCATTCCCCAAACCAATGTGTAGTTTTCTTCTTTCCTTTTGTTTGTATAAAGAATAGCTTAATGGTTTCTGGTTTTACATTTTAAAATCTTCAGTCCATTTTGTGTTGATGTTTGTGTAAGTGTGAGGTGCCAGGGTCCAGCTTCCCTCTTCTGCATGGGATATCCAGTTTTCCCAGGCTGGCTGATCAAGGAGGTTGTGCTTTTTCCCATTGTGTATTCTGGGCACCTTCCCTGGAAGTCAGTCAGCCCTCACACAGCTGGCTTGTTTCTGGGCTTTTCTTCTACTTCGCTGGTCAGCGTGTCCCAGTGTCTTGGCAGTCCCATGCTGTTTTGTAGTTAGTTTGGAATCGCATTTTGTTGCCTTGGCCGTTCAGGGTTTATCTGTGGTTCCATATGACCTTTAGCATTGTTTTTTTTGGACTTCTATATTTAAAACATGACTTTTGAGTTTTAATAGCGATGGTGTTGAGCTTGGTTCCCAGAACTTTGAGCAGAGTGCATACTTGAACATGAGCATGGCCTGTCTTTCCACTTATGCCTGTCTCTAATTTTTTTCATCGATACTTTGTAGCTTTCAGTGTGCAGGTCTTTCTCTTCCTTGGTTAAATTTGTTCCGAGTATTTTATTTTTGTCTTTTTTTTTGGTGGGTACCAGGAATCAAACTCAGGACCTTGCACTTGCTAGGCAGACGCTTGTACCGCTGACCTATATCCCCAGCCCTTTTATTTTTGTCTTTGTTTTGGGGATTTTTTTTTTTTTTGCCTTTTTGAGGCAGGGTCTCGCTGTGTAGTTCAGACTGGCCTTGAGCTCACTTTGTAGCCCAAGCTGGTCTCAAACTTGCAACAATCCTCCTGCCTCAGCCTCCCCAGTGCTGGGATTATAGGTGTGTACCACCGTGCCTGGCTGCTTGGTATTTTAAAGTTGTTATTTTAAATAGTGTCTTGGTTACTTTTCTCTTGTTGCTGAGACAAAATACCCAACACCCAAAGTTAAGGAAGGAAAGGTTTATTTAGCTTACAGTTTATGGAGGTTTCAGTCCATACTTGGCTGGCTCCAAGGCAGTGTGGCACATGGCAGAGGGCAAAACTTTCATGGCAGCAGAACACAGCAAAAACAAGAAGATCAAAAGGGGGGAACGGTGGCAAGCAGCCTCTTTCCCTCCCTGATGTTGTAAGCAGGCTACCCCCACCCAGGGGGGTGTAGCACTCACATAATCTCCATGCCCTCCTCTTCCACAGGCTCAGGATGTATACAAAGTAAGCACCCTGGCTCCCTGCTGAGTCACTTAGCCAAACCTCTAGACTCCCCAGATTGACGCAATGTATCAACCATAACAAATGGAATTGTTCTCTTGATTTCTTGTGTAGGTAGTTTGTTGCTAGCATATAGACATGCTACTGATTTTTGTGTGTTAATTTTGTGTCCTGCAACTTTCCTGTAGTTATATAGTCTGTGTATGTGTGTGATCTTTATGGGTTTTGATATGTCTGACTACATTATCCACAAACAGTAAGCTTTCCTACTGGCAGTCATCCTGTTTCTCCTGCCCGGTTGGTTGGCCAGGGCTTCCAGGGTTCCTTGCATAGAGGCAGCAGGAGGACACCCCCTTGACTTGCTTCACATCCGAAAGGAAAGATTTCCATCTTTCCTTTCTGAGTATATGGTGAAAATCCTCAAGATAACTTTATTATTGAAGATTCTTGGTAATAAAAGACCCAAGATTAATAACCGAAAGCAAGTTGACTAATATTTATCCTCTTGCTATTTCAATCATTTTATTATTTGTGTTAGAAATAATGAGTGTCTAAATAATATATAGTGCCTAAATATATAACCAGATGTTTCCTTTCCAGATGAATTTTTTGACACAGTGCTATAAATTAGTAATAAGAGCTGGCTTAATTTATTTTCAAGCACCTTTGATCGTTAAGTTGGACTATGAATATTTTGTCTGAAAATGACAGATTTAGAAAATGCCCCTTGGATGTAGAATAACTGATTTCACAGCCCCTCTCCCTGTCCCCTTTCTCCCATGACCCACTCAGATTGCCACAGAGGAGCCCCTGAATCCCATTAAGCAGGACATGAAGCGCGACAAGCCCCGCTACGTGGCCAACGTTTTCCCTCACAAGGGATATATATGGAATTACGGCGCGCTCCCTCAGGTAACATTTTGGTTATAATGGTAAAACTTTCCTGTCTTCTGGAAAAATTGCCTTGTAAATCCTGTGAACTACTTGAATTTAAATTGGTTCCAAGGACATGTCAGTTTGAGAGATTTGTAAATTTTAAATTTTTTAATGTGTGGTTTTATTATACCAATAAATTTTGTTTCACAGCATCTTTATGTCTCTGCTCAGTTTCATGGAGTCAGGCTCACGGGACCCTCACACTTGGCATTTTGAGCACATTCCTCTTCCGTAGTTTGGCTGTTGTGTCGCTGAAACATTTTACAGCAAAGGGCTTCTCTGTAGTCATCCCTTTAATTATACTTTCATGCACATTCATATATGATAAATTTTTAAAGCTCTAACTGATGCATCTTTTAAGTAATAACTTTTTTTCCAAGCTCCTTGTGAACCGAGTTAGATAACTTTGATTTTATTATTCACTGTCATGGGTTCATAATCTTTAAGTGGAAAACAGTAAAAACGTGGACAGTCAGGCCACAACACGGTGAGGCAGTGACACTGTTGGGGATTTGCACTTCCCGTTTGCTCTTCTTCCTCCCTGGCATTTGCTTCCCTTTTGTGCTGTCACCCACTGAAGGAGCAACTCTTCCGGGTTCTGTAGGGACCAGAGCTCAATCTCCTGGGATGGATCCAAAGCCTAGGGTTTGGTGACATCAGGAAACATTTGCCTTGGTGATTATAACACCCATTAGATCATCCGTCTGTCTGGAGAGTGAACATTTTTATTGACGCATTTTAATATTTCACATCAAATTCCAAGATGCTGTTGGGGAACCGTCTGAGCAAGTGGGGGAGGGAGTCTGCCTTTGCAGAACCAGAACAAACAGCTGCCAGTGTAGAATAGACATTCGCAGGAAAGGAGAAAGAAACCATGCTGTGAGCGCGCAGGCTGCCTGTGCCCGGCTGGACTACCCACTGCACACACTCCTGCTGTAAGCCGGGGTGGGGAGAAGGGTGGGGACCCCTGCATCTCTGGAAAATGGGAAGGCAGGTCTTCTGGCCCCCAGGGCCTAAGGAGACTTCTGCAAAGCTTAGGGCGCACTGAGGGGAAAGGATGTGAGGATGCCGTTGGGCAGAGCAGCTCGGTACCTGTCCCTTGGGGCTTTGTGAGCTGGGCTGTGCATTAGGTGTGCATTATGCAGAGAGTGATGAGATGGAGCAGTGATGGCATGGCAGTAACAAGAGATATATAAAAAGAAACGGAGATGGGTCACGTTCAAAGGGGACGGGGCCGAGAGCTGGCCGGGTGTGTTATGTGCACGTACCGCTGTGCGCAGGAGTGTAAACATCAGTACTGCAAACATGGACCGTCATTGCTGTTAGTAGTAATGTGGCTGTTTGTGCTTTAAGATCATCTAGCGTTATCCACAGCCCGATCAGGGCGATTGACGATGAAATCATGGGTACAGTGCAGCATAATACCTACCACTAACTGTTTAAACGATTGTCGTTTTACTGTGGAAAAATGATGAATTCCACCTCCCGGTTGGGGGTGGGTGGGAGATGATGGCGGAGGTGAAGGAAGCTTCTGTAGTTTTCTGTTTACAGCTCTGCTTAGATTCCCGCTCCTCTGCATGTGTTTGTGCTTTCCAGGTGTGCCTGTCTGCTGAGCTCTCAGCTTCTTGGGTGCAGTAGTCTTTCTCTTAATAGGAGCCAGGCATGTGGCAAGAATCTCCTAATTCATGATTAACTCTGTAGTCTCCATAACTTGGTCTAAATTTCATCACTCCAGATCCAATGTCAAAAGCAATGTTTTATTTATTTACTTGTTTATTTACTTAATTATTTTTGAGATAAGATCTTCCTATGTGGCTCAGACTGGCCTTGAACTCACTATTGTAGCCCAAGCTGGGCTCAGACTAGCAGCAATCTTCCTGCCTCAGTTTCCTGAGTGCTGGGATTATAGGCTGTGCCCTCACACCAGTACAAAAGTGATATTTTAAGAATAAAAATCTAGGCCAGTGTGGTGGTTTAATCCTGTAATCCCAGCACTCAGGAGGCTAAAGCAGGAGGATCCTTGTGAGTTCGAGGCCAGCCTAGGCTACATAGTGAGTTTAAAACCAGCATGAATTACAGAGCAAGACCCTGTCTAAAAAAAACAAACAAACAAACAATCTGGTAATGGTTTTCCCAAAGGAAACACTCCAAGGGCCTCCTGTTACTAAGGGGATAAAATGTAAACTCTTACCATGGCCCCAGCCCTGCATGACAGGGGCCTCCACCTTCTTGTCCTTGCTCATTTGACCGCCTTCCCCCTCGGCCACTTCCTCCCCCCCATGCGGTCTTCGGGGTTCTAACCTCCAGGCCTGCACAGTGCTGCCCCTCCCTTCCTTCCACCCATATTCCTGAGCGCTCGGTGTTCATGTTCTAACTCCCAGAACGAGAGCAGTGTTAAAGGTGACAGAACTCTGGAACTGTTCTTCAAGGTCAGCGGTGGCCACAGGAGCGTGGGGCGCGGCTGCTGACTGGGAGGGGCGGAGTCCTGGGGGGGGGTGAGGGGTGTGGGGTGAGGCCCCGAAGGGAGCCAGGGTGGCAGGCGCATGGCATTTCAAGGAAGAGCCGCCGAGGGCAGCAGCTGGCCTGGGGCTGCAGCAAAGAAGCCCGATGCTGAGCGCAAGATGGCTAAGCCCTGGGTGGCGGTGGATGGGGCCTGAGCCTGCATCTGGATCAGAGCTCTTTACTGCCTCCTAGACCCAGGCTGACCACCCACATTTATGTGCAAACACACATGCTACAGATTGCACATGCACCCACCGGTGCACCGCTCACCTCCTAAAGTGCTTGTCCCCAAGTCACCTTCGTCATGACATCCACCAGAGTTCCTTTAAAACCTTTCATCAGCTGAGTGTGGCGACCCCTGCCTATAATTCCAGCACTGGGGAGGCTGAGGCAGGAGAATCACCTCAAATCAAGGCCAGCCTGGGCCACAGAGTGAGAAGTTGACTCAAGAAAACAAAAGTTTGCCCACACTTCCTGAAATTCCTACTTCCGTGCTTTATTTTTCTCCTTTCCATCATACCTACCAAATTGTAACCTGCTGGATAATTTCGTTAGTTATCATGTTTATTATTTTCTTTTGGCTGAAACCCAGGCTTCCTGAGAGCTGGTATTCATCTGTTCTGTTGATGGATCTGTCCCAGTTGCCAGCTTAGCTCATGGCACTGAGGTGATTAATAAATACTTGGGTTCTGAATGAGTGAATGAATGCAGCATGTGTGTTTGTTCCGGAGGCGCATGCGGATATCAGATCTTGCAGCTCCCCTGTGATTTGTCTGGTAACGGGAAGAAATTTGTTGAGAGCAGTTACCAAGCCAGCTGCTTGGAGGGCATTTAAGCAGCAGAATTCTGGTCAAGGGGAAACCTCTCCACGTAGCTGCAGCTCATTGCTATGCCATGGAGATGTTTCGCTGTCAGATCCTTAATAACTTTTCCCATAGTGCCTTACTCTGAGTTTTAGTTTGTCCGGGGTAGAAATCGTATTATCCATATGTCACAGGTCAGGCAGCATTGTGTCTCTGGATGAATATTTAGACTGTAGGTCTGGATAATATTGAAGGACCAACTCACTTTTGATTCGAGGTTTCTTCAATCTTACTGTGATATTGATGTATCCATTATAAATCTGGTTCTTTGTCCCCACATATGATGTAGTGTCATTTATTAGTTTGAGACAGGTGACTGACTCTCCTAGGGCTGTCGGTTCACTGGTGTGGTCACGGCCCCCGCGCCACAGGTGCTGTGGGGTAATGACAAAGGTCCGAGCGGAGTGCAAAGCTCACCTTAGGTCCTCAGGAGCCTGACTCGGTCAGGGGTAGCGTCGCTGCTGATGAGGGCTGCACAGTGAAGAACTTGGTAGGAGTGAAGGTGGTGTTCAAGCCACTCTCACTTCTTTGGCCTTGGTGACCAGAGTCCTGGTGAATCTGGAAGGGGTTCTCATGACCCCCATGTGTGGACAGCTTTGTACCATTCAGTGATTTTCAAAGAGACTCAAGGGCCAGAGCATGGTAATTCCAAGCATGGTGACTCATATTTCCAGATCGTAAGGTAATCATCTCAAGCTCTGGTTAGGCTCGGTCAATAATGTGCAGATTCAGACTTACTCATTTTCATAGGTGTGTAGTGCTCGGGGTGACACTGTGTGATATGTTTCAGAAATCTTTAAAAAATACAGGTTGCAGTAAAAGACACATTCATTAATCCCTCTCGAAATACTCCCTCTCACTTTAGTGCCTTTAGTCGGCCAGGCTTCTGTATTTAGACATACTCTCTCACTGATGCTAACTTAACATTCATTCAGCATTTACTACTGCAAGTTTTCAGCATGCGTCTGTGCAAAGCAGTCTCTGCTTTTGTGGAGCCTGCCCTGTGTGGGGAAGACAGATCCTTGTCCTCGGTGTGATCAAAACTACGGTAGATGTTTACAAATTTTAAAGAAATTGTCACAGTAGAGGACATTTCCATGGGTCCTCCTCAAAACCCTACCCCTTGTTTTGAGCAGTTATCCCATGGCTCTTGCCACTTTCTGAGGCAGATCTGGGCGTCCTTCTTCATGAGTGTCTTTCATTGCTCTGTCATGGCTGCCTCAGTGTCCTCCGTTGATTCAAAATGTTCTCCTTTCGTAGTCATTTTGACTTTGGGGAGGAACTAGAAGTCACACGGTGTCAGGTCTGGTGAATAAGGTGGATGAGGACACAGTGTCAGGTTTTTACGAGCTGCCTTTCTGTTCAGTGGCACTCGGCAGCAGAATTCACTGTATTTTTTTCTCATACCCCTTAAAGACACTTAAGAAAGGGTACTTTCAGAACTGCTTCGAAAGCGGCAAGGACGATAACTGTGTTCAAAGTGAGGAGGAGGATTTTGAGGGTTAATAATGGCAGTGTGTCTTTTACTGTACCAGTTTTTTAAAAAAAATTTGAACATTGATAATATTTTTGATCAGCCCTTGTCTTTATTTCTCTATTGATAGGTTGTTTGTACTCTTTGTTAATGTCTTTCGTGAGTCCTTGCTAATTTTTTTTCTGTATATATAGGTATAATACCTATTTTACTAAGTATTCCCAAATTGCTTACCAAAAGAAGTTGTAACAATTTACACTCCTACCAGCAATACATGGTTCCAGGTGCCCTAATTCCTGCCTAGTATTTGGAGTTATCACATTTTTAAATAAAATTATTGAAATAGTGTTGCATTTAGGTTTTAAATTGTGTTTCTCTGATCAGTATCTTCTATAAATTTGTCTTTTCTTTGAGTTACTTGTTCATGTCTTCGGCCCATTCTCCTATTAAATTGTAAACGTTGTTTCTGTAATTGTGAAAACAAATATGTAGATGTTGAACTTTTCCTCTTGCTGTACTTTTCTAATTGTTTCTCTGCCTAGTTATACACCTAAACTTCCACAAGAGGGCGTGCTCTCAAAGTTTTAAGTTGATTATGATTTCCTCTCCTGTTGAAGTTACTCTGTATTTTCAAGTTAAATTTGAAATCACTTAGTGCATGTCTCTTATTGTAATAACACTCAAGCCTGTAGATGTAGAGTACTAAATGCAGAGGTAGAAGTAGAAAGAACCAGTCTGATATTTTTGCTGGTACAGAAAATCATGAAGAATTGGCCTTAAAATTAACAATTACATAGCCGAACAACTTGCAGTTATATATGTATTACTTCAACAGTAGGAACTAAATTGATAGATAATTCTGAAAATGGAGCTCTGGAGGGATATGCACACCACACAAACGCACAAGCACACCTACCAAAGCCAAACTGAGTACGAGTTACAGGAAGACAGATTTTGCCTCAGTGTAAGGAAGGATTTTCTTAAACCGAACACCTATCAGCTCGCGGGTTCGTAAGCTTCCTGTTTGCTGGAGTATTCATGCAGACTGTGAGTGAGAGCAGTCCCAGAGGACTCGGGATAGTATGCGTCTAGAGCGTGTCTTATTTGAGCCATTTTTTTTATAGCTGACGGCTGTGAGCTCTGGATGATTTCATCATGGTAGTTTGTGGCTCAGGGGGCGCTAGAACGGTTCTGTTGCTGTGTAGGCCGGCATGAATTTTAGCAGGTCGCATTTTCCTCTCCAGGAGTAGGGGTGCTCTTGGGGGCTCATGAAGGGATCCCTGCACTGGGAAAGAGGAACCTCAGATGGTCTGCCTTTCTGACCTGGGTTGGCTGTTTCTTTATTCCTTGATCCTGCGATGGTGTCCCCAGCATGTGAAGATGACTCTTCCAGCCCTCGTTACCAGGGCCATGCCCCTTACTAACCCGCTGGCCCCAGGTGTGGGCTCTTCCTGGCCCAAGTGGATCCTCGGTAGACAGCGTGCTGTGCAGGTGGATGTCTGGTGAGGGGGAGCAGGAGGAAAACAAAGGGAAAGGAAGACTAGGCAAGGTCTGACTCTCCAGGAGAACACATGCCGGGAGATTGTGAGACTGAGAAAGATAGGACAGCAAAATAAAACTTGCCATTGTTAGCAGAATTTGGATGTCAAAAGTGGTGATTAGCAACCTGGGTTCTAATCCCATCTCTGCGATTTCAAAACTGTGAGCTTGGGCAAGGTTAGCACATTCCTGCCGGCCCAAACACCGGTCCCACGAACGGCTATCTCATGCTGCAGATTGGGCCTCTGATGGGGTGACAGATCTCATCGCTTTTATCAGCCTTTTTACTGTTTTACTTAATAAAAAGTCTGTAAATGCACCTAATCTAGTTAGTTGCTTGAATTTGAAAATTCCCTGCCCAAATATAAATACTAATTAATGCTACTCATTACCAGTTAAAAACATTACAATAATTAGCAAATACATTGATTTCATTAAAATAAAATAAATTTATTTTATTTGTGAATTTCTCTGAAACATTTTATACATAAAAGTGGCTGATTTGTGCAGAGTGCACAAAATATCTTAACGTGTTTAGCTTTTTCTGTGGCCATAGTGGTACCCTGCTTTTCAGATCATTTTTGATACTATTCTCTACATCATTTGTGTGTACTTCTTGCCAATTCTAAATAAGCTTTTATAAAGTGAAGGTTTTTTTCAAGTAATTTGTGCCCGTGACATTTCTTCACAGGTTAGTAGTTTGTCCATAATTAATTCTCTAAATTTTAACACAGAAATCTCACAAGTGCTCCATTGCTGGTATATAGAACATGCATTTACAGCCTCTGTCTTACAGTTTTTTATACAATTTGAATGTTTTCCTTAAGGAACTGTAACATGATACCCTCTGAGCTGCTAAATCAATGTCTTTCTTTGCATTATGGTAATCCAAGACCCCCTGAGAAGCTGTGCATCCCGCCTGATGGGGCAGACATGCGTGGACCACCGGTGCTTCAAGCCGGGGGAGTAGTCGGATTCAAACCCGGGGCACCTGGCAATAGGACATGTGAATTATGGCCTCTTTGTGAACGTGTTCAACCATGTTCTCTGTGTTTTTTGTCTTGTGAGTCTTTACTGTGGAGTCCTCATAGAGTGTGTATAATGTGTGTGCACCTCTCAGAAAGTGTCTCTCCTCTGTAACCAGTGTGCAAGGTTAACAATTATGGTAACTCCTATCTTTTATTAGTGGCTTCATTATTTGAGGTAGTAAAAGCTCATTGAACCTGATTTTTTTTTAAAAAAATTGCATGAGTTCATTCCTAGGTACCCTATATAATTAGGGCTAGAAGGAAAATGTTGGAGTTTGTCTAAGGTTTAACTGTAAATAAGTCTCTATTTTTAGTTACTGTATAAAATCAGAGAAACTAAACTTGGGTAATCCAGAATGCAAGGTAATAGTGATCAACTGAATCTTGAGATAATGCAGTTTTTGCCTCTGTTACCGTGTAAATTCACGGCAGATAGCTTTAGGAAATGCGTGTAGCTCCTTTCAGGATCACGTAGTTATGAAGCTTCTGGAATGGGGTAGCAGCAGTAGCATGCATGCCACACTGGGCTGCTTGTGTCACTGAAAGCTCTGACAGGTTCACCATCACTGGCCTAGGGGACGTTTAAACTTGATTCCAGACTTAGATTATGCTGTTCCTTTATGAAAATACAGCATGCATTTCTCAGCCAACGGGGATAATCTTGCTAAGAAACTGAGGAGTTGACATCTTTGCATGTCTTAGTCAAGGTCTTGAGATTTGATGGCAAAGATAGTTTTTTTTTTTTTTTTTTAATGGACTGAAACAAGCAAAACATGTTCTATGGTGTACAATGTCCTGTGGCCTAGTTTAGGAAGGAAAAGCTTGTGTCTGCTCATAGATGCCCTTTAGAGGACAGGACTCTTACTTACAAACACGGAAAGCTTGGCCCCGAGCTGTCCCATGTCAGAGGAAGCCGCGAGTGACAGCAGCCACAGGCGAGGCTGGGGTGGAAACTCAGACACCAGGACAGGGACGGCGCAGCACCTACACCGAGACCTGCGAGTGGGCACGTGTAGACACTGAGGAGCCAGAAGACAAGTCTGTCTGGAAACACCTCCCGCTTTGGGATAGGATGACGGAGACGCACTGGGACAGGAGGGAAGAAACCCTCTGGGGTGCTGGACGTCCTGGCGGTGGGCCTCACGTCTGGCTGACTTCTGAGAATTTTCCCTGGGATTCTCGCCGTCTATAAAACTTGGTGATCGTGTGGAAAGATTAAGCTGTACTCCAGTGCCTATTAACCTACATTTCTGACTCTTTCTTTCTCTTATTTTTTTTAGACTTGGGAAGATCCTCATCATAGAGATAAGAACACAGGCTGCTGCGGAGATAATGATCCCATTGATGTTTGTGAAATAGGCTCAAAGGTTTGTTTTATAGACAGCGTGGGTTTGGCTTTATTCATGCCATGAACTTCCATCTTCGCCTCAAGTTCTTTTCAAGGTTGGAGACTGTATTCCTCTGCTGCTTGGTCTCTTTTATTATTACCTCCCTCTCTCAAGCTGGGTTTGCTAACCCACAGCAAATGCCAGTAAGGCCACCGCCCGATTTCATAGAGCACCGCCCGCCCGTTCATGCACACATCGTCCATCCGTGCTGCATCCACACTGCAAAAACACAGTCGAGAAGTCCACAAGATCCTCAAATATTTGCACAGTGATCCTTCTCAGGAAGTTTGCAGTCCCTGTGCTAGCTTCTTGGCCATTTTCCAGACTGAAAGTTCACTACTGATGGAAGCCAGCTGGTATTTTGTTCTGTTTTGTACCTGCTTCTGGGCTGTCCTGTCCTGCCGGCAACAGCAAAGCCCGCCGGCTCACGCACCTTTGCTCCTGCTCAGCTCTGCGTGTCCTTGGCCCGTCTTCTGTTTTCTGCTGCACTACACTGACTGCCAGTGTTTCTTGTTCTCTGTGGACATCCAGCCCTCCTCCTGCATGCCCACTCCCAGCAGTGTCTGCTCCTCCATCCCGAGGCACACACCTGCACTCGAGGCCGCCCTGCCCCTGTGCACTGCATCCTGCACTTCCTGCCTTTCAGTGATCTGTTTTCTCAGCCTTTCTTTCCTGTGTTAACCAGGGGTCGTTAAAGCTGATAGCAAACTTCCAGTGTGCTGTTCCTTTATAAAAATACACCATGTGTTTCGTAGCTGACAGTGGATCATCTTGCCAGTAAGCGGAGGAGTGGACATATTTGTGTGTTTCTGTGAAGATCTTGAGATTTGACCCCACGCGTCCTGTTTGCCCTGTCATCTCCAACCCCCTGCAGGAGCTTCCCTGTTGGCCACTGCCATGCCATGGGACGGCTCTCACTGAGGCCTCCCATCACTTCCCCTCTGCCGAACCAACCAGCCTGCTTTGTGGGCTTCGCCTTGCGTTGCTTCAGCCCCGTGGGCTGGCGGCTGCCTCTTCCCCTTGATTCCACACCTGTTCTTCACCCACCGTGGGTTCTGTCATAACATCTTGCATTCTCGCTGTTGGTCCCTTTGCCAGCATCTGTCTTCTGCCCGTCCCTCGGGTGCTGGCTGGAGGCTGTGCCCTTCTCTACTTGCTGTTGTCCTTCTGCGGGAACTGTGTGGCGACTCTGTCCCTCAGAGTCCTGGCTTTGTGCTCAAATTGATGCCTGTAGCGTACGTCCTCACCTCTGCCTGTGTGTACTCTTGGTTGTCCTTGGGCTTCTCAAACTCATCGTGTCCAAAACCATACTCGTTCTTTCCTCTAATTTACCTTTGAATATTTTCAGTCTCATGGACGACATCTCCTTGTTGTCCATCTCCAGATTCTGGAGCGGAAACCCAGGCGTCACCCTTGGTCACCCTTGGCCTCTCTTTGTGTTAATCGTGCAGTTTTGATCCTTGTCCCGAAGAGCTTTGGCGTCTCTGTCCACCCTTGCTGCTGCTGGCTTTGTCGCGTACCCCGTGACTGCTCCCTGGGATGCTCCCGGCCCCGCCCGGGTTCCTTGTGAGTCCCGCTTTCCTGCCGTCTTTATTCCACAGCCCCCTGCCTCACTTTAGTGCGGGTCTATAAACCCTGCCCGCCTCTCTCTGCCTCCGTGGCCGCCTCTTGGTTTGCGTACCCTCAAGCCGCACGCTGATCTTTTAGTTCCCCTAATGTATCACCCGCTCACATCCAGTTCTCCAGCCACGCTGTGCCCTCTGCGAGAATGGGCCGTTCTCTCCGTGCACTTCTTTCCTGACTGCTTATTTTCACATTTCACTAAAATCCGCTTCCTCTGGGAAGTCCTCCGTAACCCTCAAGGCTGCAGTGACTGCTGTTTGCCATGAGCTCCGCGCACTCCCAGTGAGCTGGCAGTGCGCTTGGTGGGGACCCCTTGTCCTGGTCTGTCACTGAGGACGGCGCAGGTCCTAGCATGGAGGGAGCCTCCTGTCTTAAGAGTGCCCCCTGGGGTCATTCATGGCTGTGTTGTTCCAGTGCAGGTGCCGGCTTTTAGCTTTGGAAACTCACGCTCGCGCCTTAAACTAGCATTTGCCCTATTTTCTTGCTTCCTCTTTTGTCTTTTTGATCTTTGTTTTGGAGGGGGGCAGGTATGGGAATGAAACTCAGGACCTCACATTCACTGGGCAGGCACTGGGCCACTGACCTAAATCCCTGGCTCCTGTCTTTTTCATCTTTTCCTCATTCCCCTTGTTCCTCTTCTTCTTTTTCCCCTGGTTTTTCTTTCCTTTGCTTCTTCTCTCCTGTTCTTCCATTCTCTTCTCTTCCCTTCCGTCGCTGCAGTCCTCCTTGCCTGCCTCTTCTCTTTTTCCCTGCCTGTCACCACTTTCCCGCAGGGAGACGTCTCATTGCTCACGGATTTCTGGTTTTGTTACAATTCCTGCACCTCACTGGCAGACTATGTCCAGATTGTAGGCTTTCTTTCACACTTGTGCTCACTTGAGAAACTTGTTTTTTTAATGTTTCTGCCCAGGAGGAGAAGCGTGTGTGTGAAGTGAATAGGTCAGGACGAAGCAGTGTACACTCTTACAGTAGGCCCCTCCTGTACCCCGGACCCCACACTAGTTGTTTTTTTTTTTCTTTACTTTAAAGAGAATAAAAAATTTTAAAAAACATTAGGGACAATACAGAATTTCAAAATAAGATGATAGGAAATCAACAATGGTTGTTACATTGCATTTGTTATCTTCAAAGTAGTTGTTCAGATTACCAGATACAGGCGTACAAAATTGATCGAAAAAATTAAGCATTAACTGTCCCTCTCAATAAGCCAACAGAAACTAGTAGTACAATTATCTTAGCTATCTTGTGTGTGTATGTGTATACATACATTTTCCTTTCCTTCTTTCTTTTCTCCTTTCCTTCATCCCAGTTGTTCTTTTCTTTTGAGCAGTTTCTTTCCCTTTCACAATATCTCTTGTACCTTTAGAATTTTATTTACTCTCTCAGTCTTTTTTTTTTTTTTTTGTGGTAATGGGGATCAAACTTAGGACCTTGAGCTTGCCAGGCAGGCGCTTGTGCCACTGAGCTATATCCCTAGCCCTCTCTCTCAGTCTTTTACACTAAGGAAACTACAACATTTACACATGCAGGTGTTATTTATTTCACTTATGATTATAGTCTCTAGTTGCACCCATTTACCTATAAAAGCCTCAAGTTTATCTTTATTTATACTTGAGTAATACTCCATTGTGTAAAACTACTACATCTTTTTTATCCATTCCTCAGTTGATGGGCATTTGGGTTGTTCCCAAAATCTAGCTATTACAAATTGCGCTGCTATAAGCATGGGTGCACATGTATCTCTGTGGTATGATGTTTTCAGTTCTTCCTGAAAAATACCCAGAAGGGGAATAGCTGGGTCAAAAGGGACCTCTAATCCTAGTTTTTTGAGGAATCTCCAGACTGGTCTCCACAGTGGTTGCACCAGTCTATTCTCCCACCAACAGTGGAAAAGAGTCCTTTTTCCCACAGCCCCTCCAGTGTTTGTTATTGACTGACTTTTTGATGATAGCCGTTCTTTCTGGGGTGAAATGGTATCTCAGTGTTTTAATTTGCATTTCTTGTATGACCAATGATGTTGAACATTTTTTCATGTACTTATTTGCCGCATGTATTTCTTCATCTGAGAAGTGTGCATTCATCTCAGATGCCCATTTTGGGATTGGGTCTTTGAATTTTGGGGGCGCAATTTTTTTTGATTCTTTATACCTTCTAGATAGAAGACCTTTGTCTGAGGGACAGTTGGCTAAAATTTTTTGCCAATTCCTGAGTTTTCTTGAAATCTTGAAGACATAGGGGTAGGCACAGAGTTCATGAACAAAAACCAGACTGCATGAGAAATACTTCGAAGAATCAACAACCGGGATCCCATCTTACTGAAAAGTTTTTGCACATATAAAAGAAATCACCGAGAAGGTAAAAAGAAAACCCACCCCAGTTTTTTTCCGATGTCTTGTTTCATAATAAGAAGGATCACTAAATTAAATAACCATTGATGGGAAGAGTACATTTTAGAAAGCTCTTGGGGCATAACCCCTGCACCACTGAGTTCACCATTAGTGCTGATTATTAAGTCTGTTTATACCTTATGCAAGTGCAGGGCTACTTCAGTTCGTGAATGCTTTTGTTTGTGATCAATTTGGTCCGCAAATAGAAGTGTTTGGCAGAATATTTCTTTTGTCTTCAAACTGTATAATGAACATGACCACTGCCATCTTTCCCACACAAACACAGATGTGGCCATCTTTTCCTGAACCGTGGAACTACTAATTAAATTTGTGAACCAAGGTACCACAGAATTAATTTTGAGGGAAAAGATTAAACAGAAGTGTCTAACGTTCACCTGTGTCAAAATGTGTCAGGGAATATTAATGTGTCAGGGAACATTCCAATTAATGAGGCTTAATTGGAGGAAACCTGACACAAATATATGAACCTGATAAATTGTTTCAACTTAATAACTGGATTTATTGCTGACAAAGAAGCATCTCCGGAAACCAATTTGGATTTTTAAACAAACATGTCAAAGTCACTAAATGTGGAGAATAAAATGAAAGATTTTCAATCAAAGTAGTTCTTAGTATGATATAATTACTATTAAAAACATAATTTTACATTTTACATAGAAATCCAGGTACATAGTTGGCATATAGTACATAGTTACCCAAATATATTGACTAGTTATTTTGTGTAGCTGTAGTATTAATGTAAATGATGAAATGAGTATACTTCAAAATATTGTGAGGTGAAGGAGAAATGAGCTATCTACCAAAAGCAGGGAAGATACTCTCAAACGGTAAAATTACTGAAGTCAAACAAAATACAAAATGAATTCCAAGGCATCGCAGTTGCTTGTGTGTTCTAGAACTTAGAAAATTCAAATTATACTAATGGAATTCAAGCACAAACCTTCTCAC